CTCTCTCTCTCTCTCTCTATATATATAAATATTTATGAAGACTTCATATTTTGAGCAGTGACCTTTGGAAACAAAATAATTATTATTCTAAAAGGGCTTAAGGAGTTAAAAGTGAGCAAGAATAAAACATACCATGTAATTTTCTTCTAAATGTAATTGTGGTAATTGTGAGCTCTGAAGATGGCTCACAATTACCATCCAAATTACTTTGCTTTATTGTGTGAGGTATAATCTTGTGCCCATATGGACAACATTATATACCATATAACAGTACATCTTTTGGGCTTTTTGAAATCTAACAGTCTTCATTTCTTACAATTTAATATTGTTCCCCTTGTCATTTTCTATTCCTTTTCACAGGTGTCTCTCACTCTCTTTGTCCCTTTCTATCTGTATTTTCTCTGTTCTTCTCTTCTTTTGCCTCCTTCCTCTCTCCCTGGCTGCCTCCAGCATTATGCTAACACATTTAAAAGCATGCTCCTGCTGTGCAAAGTAATCCTTCAGTGAAGCTGCACTCCCTTAATGTCTCTGCGTGGTATGAGATTCCTCCTAAACCCATCTCTCAGATGACACCAGCCCCAAGGTCAAACACACAGGGTCACATGCACTTGTATTTAAATGCAAGAGCACACTCTGACCACACATATCTGCATGGGCATAAAATTAAATTCTGTGTTTTGTAGCAATTGCAATTGACAAGTCTCAAGCATCACATTTTGACTTTGGCAGGCGTGGCACCAGGGATGGTCAGATTCTGGGCTTGGTCAGGGATGCCAGTGGCCACTCCTTGGATCTGTCCATGACAGTAGGTCTGAAGTTAATATTATTTTAGTGCATGATCTGTTTAGGTGCTGAATGCAGCCATAAATGAATGAGAGAAAACTGAGTTCTTTGAACCACTGAACTACATTTGTGTTCATTGCGCTTTCTAGAAGTGTGTGTCCTCACCTGTGCTTGAAACATGTTTTGCTTGCACAAATATTAGATTGAATAGTACTTAAATTTGTTTGTGCTTCCTCAGTTCTTTTGTCTACTTTTATACATACAAAATTGTGTGTGCATGAGCATGTCTGACCCAGTCTGTTCCCTGCCTTTTCTGTTGACATACTGTATATGAGACTGAGCATACAGCATGTGCACAGTGCCACCACCCCGTTTTTATTCACTTTGTGTGTCTCCTGTTAAAGCTTGGTGTGCAATTCTGAATCAAAGCCAAGCAGGTGTCACTCTGGCTACAGACAGATGGGAGACCTCATGCTGAAAACAGAATGCTATATTCACATCTATTTCTCTAATCTCTCTCTGTTTGCCTCGCTCTCATTTTTATCCTTGCATCAGTACAGGCTGGCTTTTTATTCACTGGGCTTTTGCATTGACAATTCTGTGTGAACCCACAGTCATTTCTCTAAAACTAAAATGGCTAGAAATTTTGTATTAAGGTATGCATGTTTTTTTTTTTTTTAAACCACAAACTAATCTACAAAACTGTCCACTTGAATGAAGCAGTATCAGGCTGGTTGCAGATGCACTTTAATGCAGTTTGTATGCATTAAAATTACAATTTGCTCTTGATGTTAAAATGTTCCTTATTATTATTATTATTATTATTGTTATTATTATTATTATTTTAACAAGAATAGATGAGACATATTGCCTCAGTACAGATTATTAGGGGTGAGATCACAAACCTCATGGTTCAGATCATATCATAGATTTGGGATCACGGATTGGATCATTTTTCAGATCTGCAAAAAAAGAAAAAAATATGTGAGACAAATATAACTTCACTTTGCATTTATTATTTAAAGAACTAAAATGAGCACCTAAAGCATAAGACTTCTGCACATGGTTTTAAGTGAAAACAACAATGAAGATCCTCAGTTTAAATAAAATGTTAAAATAAACCCAAACCTTAACCTTACATCCTTCTTCCATCATCTTATTTTACAGGAAAGACAAAATGCTCCCATACCTGCGACTAGCCATGGCTCTAACACACCCTGTTCATGTGAACACAGCTGTGTTTTCTCTTTGCATGTGTTCCTAAACCCGACTGGAATGGTGTCGTTTGTGCCAGATGGGTATGGCACCGTTCAGTTTAACAGCACTACATAACAAGCTGCATAACAGCATGGCCAAATGGAATCCACCCTATCGTTTCACTGCAGCTCTAACGTTGTATCGATATCGGAGGAATCATTCCTTTACAAGACAGTAACACTATTGTGATTAAACTTTAATTTGTGGTTCACATGTGTGCTGAACTGGGGGGGTGGATACTCCATTTAGATCACAGATCAACTGTGATTCCTCCCACCCCTCCACATTATTAGAGTATAATATGGATCCAGCTGTTATATAGTACCTTAATATACCTGGGTACAGTGGTTGAATATGTTTTCAGATCCTAATTTACTGTAGCTGGACCACATTGTAAAATAAGTTGTTTTTTTAAATACTCCACCGGATTGACTACTTAAGGATACAAGCTGGATATTGTAGTGTTAATACTATATATTAGCAAACAACTGCCTGTTTGCACACTGGTCAGACACAAAAGCTACCGAGGGACCTGTTTGGTTCTTTAGCTTCTAAATGCTCCACTGTGTTCACCACCTAGTCACTTATTCATTCTGCTGGATCCCTTACCGCTGTTTTTAACATTAATGAATTGATTACTTGGGAACTCAAAAAGCTCTCTTTCTGTTCTGTTTCATATTCTGTGCACCCCTTCCTTTCTCTGTATTAGTCCAAAATTGTATTTCACGCAGCATATACTGTATGTTCTTTCTCTTGAAGTCCCCCACTTTGTCCTTCACTTTCCATTTCTCTCATTGTAGATCTTCCTACCCTGCTTTCTTATTCAGCACATCCTGCTCACATTTTGTGTCTCCCTATTTGTAATTTTCTTTCTCTTGTAGATGTGTGTGTGTGTGTGTGTCTCTCTTTCTCTCTCTCTCTCTCTGTCTCTTCAAGCTCTGTCTCTTCTCTCTCCCTGATGAGGCCAGCCCCTCCATAGTGATGAGGCTAACAGAGGGTGATTAAAGTGAAGTCTCATCTGGTGGTAAAACTGACCTCAATCAGAACTGTTCTAACAAGAGGACGCCCCCTTCCTCTCAGTTTCCCTCCCTCATCCCTCCTACTCAGTATATTCCTGACTCTCAACCACCATCTTTTATTCTTTGACCTGCTCTCTCACCATGTCACTGCACCCCATCTCTCATCTTTCCTCTGCCCCTCTTTACTCTCATTCCTCATCTTCCCTTATCCACTCTCAGTGATCACTCTCAATTTGTCATCATCAACTCTATTGTTCTGTGATGGTAATCTGTTCTACTGAGAAACATTCAAGTTTGCTATCATGTGCTTTGTGCAAGAAACCCTGTATTCACAAAAAAGCCATTTTTTAAGGAAATGTTTAGTGTTCAAAGTTATGAATTCTCAAATTAGTTTTAAAAAAACGCAATATTTACACTGTGCACTCTGCAGTAACATCACTCATATTGACACTAGTCATCAGGGATCTGCAGGTTAATAATGGAACATCAAATGATGGGGAGAGGCCCATTCACAGTCAAAATAGTTTAATTTTATTTCTGTTTCAGTATATTGACTAGTATAGTGTTGATTTTTCAGTTAAACTAATAATACTTTATTAATTTGTTACATAGCAACAGGGGAGTCTAACATTAGTTTTAACACTGCAAAATTTAGCTGTGCATGTTTTCAGGAAGAAAACCAGTTTTCTGATTGAAAATGAGACTGTACTTGACACAAATTTCTAAGCCTGTTGGGAATTTTCTCATGTTTTCTCAGTTTCATTTGTCTTCTTATATATTAGAGATTCTATGTTTAAGTCGACGAAAGGCTAATCAGTGTTCACACAAAGTAAATATTTAGCCTGTAATTGCACTATAAATGCACAAATGGTATTCGTCAGTGCAGCCTGTACGTGTATGTGCGTTCTGTATGTAGTTGGAAAAATGAGGGGAGCAATCCCAGTGTGGCCTTTATAGATGTCAGCCAGGCAGTGTGTGTTGTCATGGCAACATTTATCCACAAACTAAATAAAACACCTTCCTGTTTTAGCATTGCAGTTACTACCATGCATCATGACTGCCAGCCTCTGCTACATTCTTCAACTTGTGGTGAAAATATAACATGTTTTTCTCACGAACATTTAGCCCCTGCCCACACAAGTGTGTGAGTGAATCATGTACAGTATGTGTCATTTTCTGGGGCGACTGTAATTTACAGTGAGGCTAGTGGGTGCTTCAGTCCCCTTGTTTCTTTTGTGGTGCTGTAATTAAAATGAAAGGGGGTGGGGGGCAAACATTAAATAAGATTCCACTGCCCTCTTTGTACATATAATGAGCTGAAGATTATTCATTTGTTTATTGGTCTTCCTTTTTTTCTCATCCCTATTTTATGAGCTGACAGCTACAGGGAGCAGCTGTCATGAAACTGTTATTCAGGATTTTAGGGCAAATACAGTACTTTTGACCCCTTTTTTTTTATTCCATGTGCAATCTGATATTTCTGTACAGTCTAAACACTGAAGGGCAGAATGTATGTGGTATAACCATATATACCTTCGACAACATTAGTCGGCAAGCTTGTTTTGAATCTTCTTTTTGCGGCTGATCACACACAGAGGTGATTTGCGACATTATGCATAGTGCCTGGAGTATTGAATTACATGGCCACCAGAGGCATTTGGTTAGCTCTGCTGGACC